AACTTCACAGGAAAGTTAAATAAATGAATAAAATGTAATTAATAAATGAATATGGGGCCAGGTACAGTGGCCTGCATCTATAATCCCAGCACTTTGGGAGGCCAAGGTAGGAGGCTCACTTGAGGCCAGGAGTTCAAGACCAGCCTGGGCAACATAGCAAGACACCCATTTCTATAAAAAAAAAAATTCTAAAATTAGCCAGGCATGGTAGTAGACACCTGTAGTCCCAGCTACTTGGGAAGGTGAGACAGGATTGCCTGAGCCCAGAAGTTTGAGGTTATAGTGAGCCATGATTGTGCCACTGCACTCCAGCCTGAACAACAAAGTGAGACCCCAACTCTAAAAGTGAAATTAAATTAAAAATAGTAAATAAATATGGGTTATGTTGTGAAGCATGGAAAGAGAGACCAGGAGGGACAATTTGGGCCACTTCTCTGGCCCCAGTTTCTAATATTCTTGCTAAAATGTAGGACATCTGGTAATCCCAAACCAGTTATTTTTTTTTATTGATTTTAGGTTTTGGGGTACATGTGAAGAACATGTAAGATTGTTACATAGGCATACATAGCAGTGTGGTTTGCTGCCTTCCTCCCCATCACCCATATCTGGCATTTCTCCCCATGTTATCCTTCCCCAACTCCACCCCCCATCCCTCCCCTATTTCCCCCCAACTGACCCCAGTGTGTGATGCTCCCCTCTCTGTGCCCATGTGTTCTCATTGTTCAACACCCACCTATGAGTGAGAACATGCGGTGTTTGATTTTCTGTTCTTGTGTCAGTTTGCTGAGAATGATGGTTTCCAGGTTCATCCATGTCCCTACAAAGGACATGAACTCATCATTTTTTATGGCTGCATAGCATTCCATGGTGTATATGTGCCACATTTCCTTGTCCAGTCTATCATCCAAGGACATTTGGGTTAGTTCCAAGTCTTTGCTATTGTAAACAGTGCCACAATGAACATTCGTGTGCATGTGTCCTTATAATAGAACGATTTATAATCCTTTGGGTATATACCCAGTAATGGGATTGCTGGGTCAAATGGAATTTCTATTTCTAGGTCCTTGAGGAATCGCCACACTGTCTTCCACAATGGTTGAACTAATTTACACTCCCACCAACAGTATAAAAGTGTTCCTAATTCTCCACATCCTCTCCAGCATCTGTTGTCTCCAGATTTTTTAATGATGACCATTCTAACTGGAGTGAGATGGTATTTCAATGTAGTTTTGATTTGCATTTCTCTAATGGCCAGTGATGATGAGCATTTTTTCATATATTTGTTGGCCTCATATATTTCTTCTTTTGAAAAGTGTCTGCTCATATCCTTCACTCATTTTTGAATGAGCTTGTTTGTTTTTTTTCTTGTAAATCTGTTTTAGTTATTTGTAGATTATGGATATTATTAGACCTTTGTCAGATGAGTAGATTGTAAAAATTTTTTCCCATTCTGTTGGTTGCCGATTCGCTCTAAAGACTGTTTCTTTTCCTGTGCAGAAGCTGTGGAGTTTGATTACGTCCCATTTGTCTATTTTGGCTTTTGTTGCCAATGCTTTTCGTGTTTTAGTCATGAAGTCCTTGCCTATGCCTATATCCTGAATGGTTTTGCCTAGATTTTCTTCTAGGGTTTTTATGGTGTTAGGTCTTATGTTTAAGTCTTTAAACCGTCTGTAGTTAATTTTAGTGTAAGGTGTCAGGAAGGGGTCCAGTTTCTGCTTTCTGCATATGGCTAGCCTGTTTTCCCAACACCATTTATTAAACAAGGAATCCTTTCCCCATTGCTTGTTTTTGTGAGGTTTGTCAAAGATCAGATGGTTGTAGATGTGTGGCGTTGCCTCTGAGGCCTCTGTTCTGCTCCATCAGTCTATATCTCTGTTTTGGTACCAGAACTATGCTGTTTTGATTACTGTAGCCTTGTAGTATAGTTTGAAGTCCGGTAGTGTGATGCCTCCGACTTTGTTCCTTTTGCTTAGAATTGACTTGGCTATGTGGGCTCTCTTTTTGTTCCATATGAAGTTTAAGGTGTTTTTTTCCAGTTCTGTGAAGAGAGTCATTGGTAGCTTGATGGGGATAGTGTTGAATCTGTAAATTACTTTGGGCAGTATGGCCATTTTCACGATATTGATTCTTCCTAATCATGAACATGGAATGTTTCTCCATCTGTTTCTGTCCTGTCTTATTCCGTTGAGCAGTGGTTTGTAGTTCTCCTTGAAGAGGTCCTTTACATTACTTGTTCCTTGTATTCCTAGGTATTTTATTCTCTTTGTAGCAATTGTGAATGGCAGTTTGTTTTTGATTTGACTCTCTTTAAGTCTGTTACTGGTGTATAGGAATGCTTGTGATTTTTGCACATTGACTTTGTATACTGAGACTTTGCTGAAGTTGCTTATCAGTTTAAGGAGATTTTGGGCTGAGATGATGGGGTCTTCTAAATATACAATCATGTCATCTGCAAATAGAGACAATTTGATTTCCTCCTTTCCTAGTTGAATATGCTTTATTTCTTTTTCTTGCCTTATTGCTCTGGCTCGAACTTGCAATACTATATTGAATAGGAGTGGTGAGAGAGGGCATCCTTGTCTAGTGCCAGATATCAAAGGGAATGATTCCAGTTTTGCCTATTCAGTATGATATTGGCTGTTGATTTGTCATAAATAGCTTTTATTATTTTGAGATACATTCCATCAATACCTAGTTTATTGAGGGTTTTTAGCATAAAGGGCTGCTGAATTTTGTCAAATGCCTTCTCTGCACCTTTTGAGGTAATCATGTGGTTTTTGTCTTTGGTTCTGTTTATGTGGTGAATTTTGTTTATAGACTTTCAGCCTTGCATCCCCAGGATGAAGCCTACTTGATCATGGCAGATAAGCTTTTTGATGTGCTGTTGCAATTGGTTTGCCAGTATTTTATTGAAGATTTTTGCATCTGTGTTCATCATGAATATCGGCCTGAAGTTTTATTTCCTTGCGAGTCTCTGCCGGGTTTTGGTATCAGGATTATGTTGGTCTCATAACATGATTTGGGAAGGATTCCCTCTTTTTGGATTGTTTGGAGTAGTTTCAGAAGAAATGGTACTGATAACAATGTATTTTCAATTGCATTTATGTTTCTAACTTGTCACACTGATACAGCATTAACCTCCCAATGATACAGCGTTAACATTTATTATTTTCTCTACTTAACTACCCAGATGGTGTGTTTTCCTTATTTCTCAGCCTGGCTTGAGTTCTGGGGCTTAGTGTTAAGGATAGCTCAGCTATGAGATGTATTCATAAAATTTTGAGAAATGGAAGGCAAGACAGATACAACATCTAGACGGGAAGGATGAAGACAGTTTGAGAAGGATAAAAGTTAGCAAGGATAGGGACAGGACACTCTAGGGCAGTTGGAGAAGGGAAAGCAAAGGATGCTCAGAGGGACAGCCTACTACTCTTGGCAGCTGAGGATATGGAGAAGGATGGTAGATTGAGTCAATCAATGTATGTGTTGCAGAGGCAGTTGGAGAAGATGGCCAGATGGGAAACAATTCTCATTTTTAACAAGGGAGTTGGCATAGGAGAAAAAGTTGTGGTGAGGTCAAGGGAGGAAGGACAAAGAGTTATTTGTCTCAGGTAGGTAATGGATGAGCAGAGGTAGGTGTAAGTTAGTTCCAGGGCAGGATATAATAGGTTTTCAGAATAATGCTCCCCTTTGATCTCTTACTTACCACCCTAGACCCCTGCAACCAGTTTCTTTCAGTGTTGATTTCTATCCTGTCATATTGGAAATGTTTAATAAATGCAGACTAAATATAGCAGAGCACATTTTCCCTTTTCTTAGCCAAACCTCTGGTTCTCCTCAACTTTTAGTACTGTGTTCTGTCACCACCATTTATTGAACAGTTCTTCATTCTAGTTCACTCCCATAAGAATGACTTTAAGACCTCTGAGTCTGGGAAAATTCTCTGTTCAATTATTTTGTCCATTTTCTTATTGAGGATTTGTTTTCTTATTATTGAGTTTTCATAGTTCTTTATATTATGGTTTTCCTTGTTTTTTGTTTTTATAGAGCTGGGGTCCCACTGTGTTGCCCAGGCTGGTCTCAAACTCCTGGGCTCAAATGGCCCTCTCCCCTTGGCCTCCAAAAGTGCTGCGTGCCCAGCCAGTTCTTTACGTTCTGGATTTCAGTCCACTTGCAAATATTTTCTCCCTATCTGTAGCTTGTCTTGTAATAGTCTCTTTTGAAGAGAAGTTTTAAATTTTGGTAAAGTCCAATTTATCAGTGCTATTGTTTTATGAATCATTTTTAGTGTTATATCAAAAAATTCTTTGCATAACTCAGTGTCACAATTTTCTCCCTTTTTAAAAGAAGTTTTAGGAGTTACATTTAGATCTAGATGCATTTAGAGTTAATTTATTTCCATGATGTAAGGTATGAGTGCAAGCTTTTTTTTTATTTTGTTTTTTCATATGGATACCTAGTTGTTTTGGCACATTTTGTTTAAAAGACTGTGCTTTCTCCACTGAATTGCCTTTACACATTGGTCAAAAATCAGTTGCTCGTCTATGTGTGAATCTATTTCTATGCTCTCTTATTAAGTTCCTTTAACCTATTTGTGTATGTGTAGGCTCATTGTTTTTTAGATGAAATAACTGGAATCACCCTTTCCTCAGCTAGTTAGCTTACAATTAGTGGATTACTTATATATAAAACTTAAATTTTTGAGCGAAGAATTATGACTGAACCAAAGTAGAGAAAAGGAGTAAGTTGTAAAACTTTCAAAAACAATGAAAGAGTATTATAATGAATTTATCACCATCAAAAATAGAACAATTGTCTAAGGTCAAATTAAAATCGTTTAAAATATTATCCCTTTTTAGTTATATGTAGAAGCAGTTTTACATTCATAGTAATAATATATAACTAAGCATGTCCATTTCCATACATTTTAATTTTTAGGATTTCACATCTGTTTTGTATCAAAACATTTTATCTATTTTGTTTGCTCCTTTATTCTACAGGATTAAATTTGCAGCATGATATAGCCAGTTCTCATCGGAACTATTCAATCACAGACTCTTATACAGAATACGAGAGTTTTGAAGAGAACTTCCCATCACCTGAACTGTTCAGAAAATCAGATTATTTAGGTAAGAAAGTAATTCCAACCTTAAATTGCTCTACTATAAAAATTATTCCTTTGTCCACAAATCCTCCAATGAATAAATGTCCCTTTAAAGAAGGCACACTCTTCTTCCTCACCAACACCTCACTTCCTTGACCATTGCCCATTGTATTTCATTCCCAGTCACACAGTAGAGCAAGAGTAGATCCAGGAAGGATGAAGAAATATCATTTAGCATTTATATGTAATGCACATCCAATTATTAATGAATTTTGCACCTAATGAATGTATACTTGTTCTCTTGAACCGTGGGTTATCTTTTTTTCCTGCACTTCTCTTTCTTTTCAGCAAGTAACTTAAATGTTGGCTAGGCCAAGTCCCTGCTTGAATTTTCTCCACAAATTAAGAGTTATTTACATTTATTATACATATAAATGCAGCCTTTGGTTAATGATGGCAGATCAAATACATGCCTTACTCTACCATCTTGCAATGGCAGAAAACAGCTTTTTCTTTAAAATAATACACTCAAAAGGACAAAGATAATTGGGAAAAATAAAGTACCAAGTTTGGAAAGTTAGAGATCAGTTGGATTGATACAGCAGACCTAAGAAATCAGAGTCCTAAACCAACAATGTGAATACCCTAGAAACAGCCAATTTGCACTATGGTGTCACAGAAGAGCTCATAATTTGGTTGTTCCAAATACTTATTAATAGATGTTAAAAACATGAAAGATGTGATGAACTGCTTCTTTACTGCTCAAAGGGAGCCAGGAGATTTATTCTTTAGAATGTATTAAAACAGAGACTCTAGCCAATTGCAACAGCACATCAAAAAGCTTATCCACCATGATCAAGTAGGCTTCATCACGGGGATGCAAGGCTGGTTCAATATATGCAAGTCTATAAACGTAATTCACCATATAGACAGAACCAAAGACAAAAACCACATGATTATCTCAATTGATGCAGAGAAATTTTTGACATTTTGACATTTTTGAATTTTGACAAAATTCAACAGCTTTTTATGCTAAAAACCCTCAACAAGCTAGGTATTGATGGAACATGTCTCAAAATAATAAAAGCTATTTACGACAAACCAACAGCCAATATCATACTGAATGGGCAAAAACTGGAAGCATTCCCCTTGAAATGTGCCACTAGACAAGGATGCCTTCTCTCACCACTCCTATTCAATGTAGTACTAGAAGTTCTTGCCAGAGCAATCACACAAGAAAAAGAAATAAAGGGTATTCAAATAGGAAAGGAGGAAGTCAAATTGTCTCTATTTGCAGACGACATGATTGTATATCTAGAAGATCCCAAATCTCCTGAAACTGATAGGCAACTTCAGCAAAGTCTCAGGATACAAAATCAATGTGCAAAAATCACATGCATTCCTATACACCAATAACAGACTTAAAGAGAGCCAAATCAAGAACAAACTTCCATTCACAATTGCCACAAAGAGAATAAAATACCTAGGAATACAACGAACAAAGAACATAAAGGACTTCTTCAAGGAGAACTACAAACCACTGCTCAATGAAATAAGAGAGGACACAAACAGATGGAGAAACATTCCATGTTCAAGATTAGGAAGAATCAATATCATGAAAATGGCCATACTGCCCAAAGTAATTTACAGATTCAATGCTATCCCCATCAAGCTACCAATGACCTTCTTCACAGAACTGGAAAAAACCACCTTAAACTTCATATGGAACCAAAAGAGAGCCCGCATAGCCAAGTCAATTCTAAGCAAAAAGAACAAAGCGGGAGGCATCACACTACCGGATTTCAAACTATACTACAAGGCTACAGTAATCAAAACAGCATGGTACTGGTACCAAAACAGAGATATAGACCAATGGAACAGAACAGAGGTCTCGGACGCAACGCAACATATCTACAACCATCTGATCTTTGACAAACCTGACAAAAACAAGCAATGGGGAAAGGATTCCCTGTTTAATAAATGGTGTTGGGAAAACTGGCTAGCCATATGCAGAAAGCAGAAACTGGACCCCTTCCTGACACCTTACACTAAAATTAACTACAGATGGATTAAAGACTTAAACATAAGACGTAATGCCATAAAAACCCTGGAAGAAAATCTAGGCAAAACCATTCAGGACATTGGTGTAGGCAAGGACTTCATGACCAAAACACCAAAAGCATTGACAACAAAAGCCAAAATAGACAAATGGGACCTAATCAAACTTCACAGCTTCTGCACAGCAAAAGAAACAGTCATTAGAGTGAATCGGCAACCAACAGAATGGGAAAAAATTTTTGCAGTTTACCCATCTGACAAAGTGTTGATATCCAGAATTTACAAAGAGCTAAAACAGATTTACAAGAAAAAAACAAACAATCCCATTCAAAAGTGGGCAAAGGATATGAACAGATACTTTACAAAAGAAGACATACCTGAGGCCAACAAACATATGAAAAAATGCTCATCATCACTGGTCATCAGAGAAATGCAAATCAAAACAACATTGAGATACCATCTCACGCCAGTTAGAATGGAGATCATTAAAAAATCTGGAGACAACAGATGCTGGAGAGGATGTGGAGAAATAGGAACACTTTTACACTGTTGGTGGGAGTGTAAATTAGTTCAACCATTGTGGAAAACAGTGTGGCGATTCCTCAAGGACCTAGAAATAGAAATTCCATTTGACCCAGCAATCCCATTACTGGGTATATACCCAAAGGATTATAAATCGTTCTACTATAAGGACACGTGCACATGAATGTTCATTGCAGCACAGTTTACAATAGCAAAGACCTGGAACCAACCCAAATGCCCATCGATGATAGACTGGACAGGGAAAATGTGGCATATATACACCATGGAATATTATGCAGCCATCAAAAATGATGAGTTTGTGTCCTTTCTAAGGACATGGATGAACCTGGAAACCATCATTCTCAGCAAACTGACAGAAGAGCGGAAGATCAAACACTGCATGTTCTCACTCATACGTGGGTGTTGAACAATGAGAACACATGGACACAGGGAGGGGAGCACTACACACTGGGGTCAGTTGGGGGGAAATAGGGGAGGGACGGTGGGAGGTGGGGAGCTGGGGAGAGATAGCAAGGGGAGAGATGCCAGATGTAGGTGATGGGGAGAAAGGCAGCAAATCACACTGCCACGTGTGTATCTATGTAACAATCTTGCATGTTCTTCACATGTACCCCAAAACCTAAAATGCAATAAAATAAATAAATGGGAAAAATAAATAAATAAATAAACAGAGACTCTAGACCGGAGAATACTAGGTAGTGTTAATCGCAGTGATACTGTGGTATTTTGAAATGTCAGTTCCAATTATTCATTTCTCTGTAGTATTGTATTCATACCTTCATGATGGGTGGAGTATACTTTTCCACTCTTTGGCTTTGAGATTGGCCACATCACTTGCTTTCAGCAACAAACCAAATTTAAGAAAACCTTTGAAATTGCTTAAATGGTTGGGCTTGTCTTCTTGCACTTTTGCCATTATCATGACACTGTATCCTAATTAGCTGCTGCCTCTCTTGTGGAACGCCAGAATGAGAGTTACAGAGTAGAGCAGCCCAGGCAATCCGCTCACTGCAGAGAGCTGCCCCAGCTGATCTGCAGACCTGTAATCTGAGTTACCTGAGCCAACTAATAGACATGGGAACAAGAAATAAATGCTTTTCACTTTGTGCCACTGAGATTTTGTGGTTACTATACTGCCAAAGCTGACTGCTGCAGATAATGTACTGAATGTAGGAGAGGGAATTAAGTAAAAGTGTACATCCTAAATTATGGGATCTGCTCACTCAATGCTTATTTCCACCCTATCCCAGCAGCCCATTTCTCTGTCAGCTTCCCAGACTTGAACCTTCTGTTGAGAAAATGGAAGATTATTTTCTCAGGAACTGATTACCCTAGAAGAAAATATCTAAAATACTGACCTCAGGAGTCCTCAGTGAAACTGACCAGGCAGAAGACCCTACAGTGAAGCCAACTGTATGACAAGCCCCACCTAGGCCATAAGGATACCACTTAGCCTTTTAGGACCCACTTTTAAATATGAACAGAGAGCCAAGGATCACCAGGTTTCTGAGGACAGCCTCTAACATTAAAAAGAGTTATCAAAACAAAACAAAATGTGGGAATGGTGTCAGCAAGATGTTGAAACAGGAAGCTGTGGACCTGCCAACTCCTTATGGACACACCAATTCAACAGCAATACATGGACCAATTCCCTTTGAGAGAAATTCAGAAAACAGTTGACAGGTTCTTGCACCCTGGCAAGCATGGGACCAGCCACATCAAAGCCAGTAGGAAAATCTGAGATGTCCTCACCATAATTCCTACTCCTAGCACAGCACCATATAATTGGAAGGAAACCCATACCTCAGCTTTCAGCTTCTCCCTGAGGGGAAGAACAGGATAAGGGACTGGATGATACATCCAGTGTTCTGAATTCTCTGAAGGATGCCTGAGGCAACTGACTTCTGTCTTGCCAGTCTTAGAGTGCTGATGGGACCCAACATGTCCAAGGTGCCTGGTGATTGCTGAGAACAAAGATGACAATTTGGTCTAGGACACAAACATTTGCCATAGGCCCTCTACCTAGCTCAGTGCAGAGTCAGTGGGAAAAAGAAAAAAAAAGCAGATTCTAGCTTCTCCTTGGGGAGAAAAAGAGTTGGACTGTGTGTCCAATATTCTAACTTTTCAAGAGATGTTCTTGGGACTAGCTTCTGTCGCTCCTGTTTTAGAATGTTGACAGGATCTGTCATGTTCTAAATGCCTCAAGGCTAACAAGAACAAAGATGATGGTCTGAACTAGCACAAAGATTTGAGAGATCACTGGGTAGGCTTATATTGGTAAGGGTCTTCTGTATAATGCCAGCCTGCAAGACTGGGAGAAGTGACTGTTTTGTCTAATGCATAGATACTGATACCAAGAGTCAAGGAAAATTAAGAAGCAGGGAAATGTAGTCCAAACAAAGAATAAGATAAATCCACAGAAGC